TGGGGGCACAGGTGAACTAATAGTGGCAAAGTTTGATAATATGCATATTCCCTGAGCAATAGATATATGACTGGTAGAAATTCATCCCAATGGTATAAATGTATAGAAGCACAAAAATGCATGTATTTTTTTAAAAAAATTGTGTACTTGTTTTTAATAATATAACATTGGAACAAACTGAGATGATCAAAAATATTGTTAAGTGAATCATGAGAGTCATGGTAGATCCCCACTAGGAAATACTACATAGCCATTAAGGAAGATGTAATACACACACACACACACACACACACACACACACACACACACACACATGTTTAATTATAAAGAAAAATGTTCAGTGTAGTTTTAAAGAAAAATACTGATTATAAAACAATATGGGTTCAATGTGGTTGCTGAAAGGAGATGAAACCATGTTAACAAGTTAACAATTGCTGTCTTTGAGTGTGGGTGATTTATTTCAGTTGATTCCATATTTTTTTCTTTAAATATTTGTCTTCTCCATAGTAAACAGTAACCATTCTCAACTTTTCTTAATTTCTCTGGGTTCAGTTTGGTCCTTTCTAATTCCCCCAGTTTCATCCACGTGTTTTTCCTTCTGATACTTGAAACTGTCTTTCCTTATGAACTCGAGACAGTGATGCTTGCTATCCTCTGTTCCCACCTTTTTCTTGCTATCAGCATCTTGTGGTGTTCGGCGACATAGTTCTCAGGGAACATTTTAGACCTCTGCCTTCATTGATGCCAATAAAGCCATCCTGCTCATTCTTTTTCAACCCAAGATAACTGTTCCTTCATTTTTTGCTTATTTATTGGCAATTGATTAGGAAGACCCTAAACCTTATAGATGTCTTTTTGCTTACTTCTATGGGGAGATAATTTTCTTATAGATCTCTTGTCATTTTAGTAATTGGATTAGATTTAGTGCATTTTAAGTTAAGTCATAAGATCGTCTTCCACACTAAACTTTGTCTCTTTAGTTACGGGAATAGCTTCAGATAGATTTTGTGTAATCTCTTTGGTAGAGATTTGAAGGGACACAGTTGATTTGAGAAAGGTCAGATAAATGCATGAATGCAAGAGGGTTTCCTCTCTTCTTCCTCAAATTCTAGACTAATTGAGAGTGTTAGTAAAGAATCTATGTATACCAAAGGTCTACAGTCTATTCTTTTTAAAGATGCCCTTGCTTCTTCTACAGTTCTCTTTTTTTCCATTTTAAGTGCTACTGTTTTATGTCTTTTCTTTTAGATATGTGCTATTTAAATAATGGAAAATGCTTGAATTTTAAATGCAGTCATGTGATGTGGAAGACCTAACTTATACTAAAATAGGAAATGAACAGTGGTCAGATTATTAAAATCACAATTAAACTTATGATAGGAATTTAAATAATTTATTAAATTGAAGTCTTCTCATTTATTTGCAGCCTTCATTTCTTTCAGTTAGTAATAGACAAAGGTGCTTAAATTTCAGAAATAAGAACTTTTCAAAAGAAAAATGATTTCAAAAACATGAATATTCTTTTAAGTAAGACCCAGAGGCTGCTTACCAATTACTACCTTTGGCAAACAACACAGTTCTTGAACTTGGTGATAGCAGTTGATTGCTTATAACATCGCCCATGCATTCCTTTTGGAAATACAAAAGAAAATCTGTGTGTTTCACATTCGAAAAATGATGTATTCCTTTTATTTTTAGATCTGTAAGTATAAATGGTACTTGAGAAAGTCAGAATTTCAACAAGGACTTTGTATGAGAAAAAGTTCAGTTTTCAAACTGTGATCAAGGAAAGAAAACTAGTCCTGTCTATAATTGATACAAAGGTAAAAACGTATTACTTTTCAAATTACATTTTCATCTTTTTAGGTAAAAAATACATTGGGACAGGTGTACATGTGTGTGCACCAGAAGCTTTACCATTTGAGAGTGGATAAGTAGCTAGTGTGGTAGGTGTGGGAGTCTAAATGAAGAAGTGGAGAAGATGAAATGAGGGAGGAAGAAATGAGAGGGGAAAGGATGGGCAGCATGGACTGATGGTCATGGAGACTGGCTGTGGGTGACTTTCTATGTAGGGAGGTGAGGAAGAGGACCAGTTGTATAGCCATGCATGAGTTGCAAGGGTCCAGATGGAGCCCAGGAAATGCAGTGGAAAGACATTGTGTTAATGGGAGATAGAACATTCCTTTTAGTACCTTGCATATTACTCTCAACGATAGGGGATAAAAGCAACAAATCAGTTTTAATAAAAAAAATAATTGTGGCTTCTTTTTTCCTCAGTATTTGGAAGTGAAACTCTGCTGTGTCCTTAAAGTAACTAATGATTTTACCTTAATGAATAATCCATGCTCCAGTTTGAAGCATAATCAGTTGGAAGGGGGGGAGAAGAGAAGGGGAAAGACATAACAAAGAATGAGATCTGTATAGTTCTCCACAAGTCAGCAAAGCCACCAGCTATTTTTGTGGCCATCTAATATGCCATCAAGTATTTCTGAAAGAGAAAATCCATTTATGGTCTGACTATAAGTTCCTAGGAGTATTCTCCACTGATTCTAGTCCCATCTCCAAAGCATGTAGACCTCAAAGAAAGTGTAAAAAGATTTGGTATGGCAAAAGAATAAATAATAAGTGAACAAGTAAGCATAATATTTTGTGTATTAGGCACAGTGCTAGACTTTATAATGTAATATCTATTCCACTATAGAGTATGAGGTCTAGTTATAATTTTTATGTTTATATTCTCTTGATTTTAAAAACCCTGTCAACTTAGTTTCAGAAATTTCCTAAATATTATATAGTTGGTAAATGAGGAGCTAGATTTCAGATCAAGGACTCAAATGCTTATGTTCTTTTTTAATAACCAAAAAAATTTCAAGATCAAATATGATCTCATTTTTATTACCTTGAAAATATTCAGAAGTTTTCATTTTTCTACCTCTTCTAATTACTACCTTTGAGAACAAAGTCTAATCTAATCATCTCCTCTGCATCTGAATTGTTTTTCCACTTTTACATTTTGGCTCACTTTTTTTAAGCCTCTAATATTTCTTGCATATACTATGTCTTTAATTATGTTTTTGTTTTTATTAATGTATCATGGCTACATATAATTGTGGGGATCATTGTGACATCCATAAATGTATATATTGTAATTTGCTCCATTTAATTCCCCAGTTCTAGTTCCCATCCCTCCTCCCTCTCCCTTGGTTCCCTTCTTCTACCACCCTGTATGCCCTTCTATTTTCATGTGATCCCTACCTTTTAAAAAATTTCTTATTTAACTCTAGTTTCTGCAAATGAGAGAAAACATTCGACCATTGACTTTGTGAGTCTGGCTTCTTTCACTTAGCATGATATTCTCCAGTTCCTTCCATTTACCAGCAGATGACAAGTTCATTCTTCTTTATGGGTGAGTACAACTCCATTGTGTGTATGTACCACATTTCCTTTATTCATTCCTTTGCTTATGGGTCCACAACTTGGCTATTATGACCCATATTGCTATAAACTTTGGAATACAGGTGTTTTCAATTCTTCTATTTTATAATTTTTCCAAGAGACAAGCCAAAATTTCTCATTGCAGTACTTCCCATTTCTCATCTCAATTTCTTTTACAGCTTAACCCTTTTACCCAAAGTTGAAGCCAATCTTACATACCATCATGTATCATTCACCAGACATTTGTTAAGCATTTATCAATGAATCTATTGTCAATGAATCCGCCTTTCATTGGCTGCCCATAGGGTAGGTTGCCACATAGTGGAATAAAGACTAAACTAAGCCCCTGTCTCTGGCCTCAAGGAACTTAGAATTTAGGGACAAGAATAAAGAAGAAAATTTAAAATTAGGGTGAAATATTCACCATGCATTGAAAGTGCACACTGGTTTTGGTAGAGTCTCTTAGGTGGGGATAGCTAGACAGGACACTGATATAAGATTGGGAATCTGGGGGTTTAGGGATGGCATCTAAGAAGAGATGAAGAAATGATTTGAATAAGAACAGGAGTATCATTAAACTAAAAAATATAATGCATTGATTCAGGGGTCTTAAATTGGAAGAGACCCATGGAGTTTATGGACTAAGAGGTCTCAATACAAGTGCATGTAATTTGGAAGAAAGATGTTGGCCACCCAGATCTGCATGTATCACTGCTCTAGAAAGAGGGAGAGGAAACAAGGAAGGACTCATAATCTTATTCCCCAAGGAGAGAAGGACACCGAGGAGCCCAGATCTTGTGCAGCTAGATGCAGGGCCCTCATCTCTGTATACGACAGGAGAGTATGGTGGGGTCTCACTAAAGGAGACCTGTACCTGCCTTCAATCCATGTCCCAAGAACTTATATTTCCTAACTACACAGGTGCCTCCCTCCTTTTCTTTATACTTCCCTATTTCCATATAAGAACATAGTCCTTGCCTTGCTAAACTAGGAATAAAGAGATGTCTTATTTTGGCAGGAGTAGCAGAGTCTCATTAGGTACTTCATTGGGATCATTGACATCTTTTCTTGTATCTAAAGGTTACTGAATTGTGCAGAGTTAAAATGGAGACAATTTCTTACTAAGAACAAGGTTATTAAATTTTCAGAAGTCAAATTCAAAGAGTACAGAGGGTTTTTTTTTTTTTTTTTGCCTGCAGGAGAAGCTGAAATTCAAAGGGTGACTGTGACCAAGAAGACAGGATGGGAGTCTATTTTACTTGCTCTCTGCTCCCATGTCAGATATGTGTATGTTGGAGAATTGTCAGCTTAAGTTTAGATTATACTTGAAAATGGAGATGAGTTTTTACTTGTTCAAATGAAAAAATTATTTAGGACAAAATCTCCCAGGATATAAAGCATCTTTCACTTAGAGTGTCTGAGAAGAAGGATTCTTCTTCCCAACCATGCCTGTAACTTACACTAAAGCCAGGGTAGGAAAGGACTTGTGGAGATGAAAGTTAGGAGATGAGCCAATGATGGGCCAAGTGGAACCCATGGACTCCTGGGGGTCATTAAGACACATTCAGAGGATCTGCAAAATCAAAATGATTTTCCTAATAATTCTAAAGTGTTATTTTCCTTTTTCACAATGCTGACTTGTGTAAAGTTGATTCAAGATCAATGACAGACAAAGGACTGCTCTCTTACCAAAATCAAGGTAGTACCATCAAATTATATTATTAGTTATTGTATTCTTCACCATCACAAACTAGCAGTAAAAAACAGCAACAACAGCAGCAACAAATCCCACACAATTTCACATGCAGACTATTTTTGATGAAATCGTAAAGAAAATTACCCTATTGAATTTCAACACCATGATAATTTTGACGGAAAGCACTGGTGCAGTTCAGTCACCAGCTGAACTAGCCATGTTTTTAAAGATCACAACTACATTTATTAAAATGTGAATACTGGGCAAATATTTTATCAAAATGAACAAAGTGATCCTATTACTTACAGGAAAACAATAAACAATATTTACAATGAATATAAAATTTGAGCTTCAAAAGGAAAATGAGAAGTTTGGAAAACTTGTCCTTGCCCCATGAGGTTGAAAAGTCCCCCAAATTATAAGATGTTAGATCTGAGTTAGAAAGAATAACTTGAGAAACACCAGGGACTAGATGGGGGTGGAAGTCATGGGTATGAAAGAGGTTCAGCCAGGAAAGTGTAGAGTATGGAGAGGTCAGAGCTGAGGATTGGCTCATGGGGCTTGTTTTTTTGTCCCTAGCCCCCCATGGGACACTTTAAAGATGCATATTTACACATTCCTTGTGCAAACTCGGTGCACATACACAATACCTTACATTTTTATATTCAGAAACATGTCATCTGACATTGACAATAACAAAGGAAGGTGAGAGGCTACATATAATAATTGTTGTCATTTTTCAGATGAGGAAATTGAGACTGAGAATATAGGTGAAATAAGTAGAGTTCCAAAAGTGACTGCACTAGCACAAAATCCTGGTCCTTTAATTTCTAGCACAGAGTTTCTCCTGCCACTCCACAAGAGCTTTTGAAAAAAATGCCTTTTTTTTTCCCTTCCATACTCTTGCAGTGTGTGGGAAATCATCTTCTTTCTTGCAGACTCAGCATTCTTACAAACTAATATTACATTTGTTCCAGCTTCTCTGTAGCCTCATCAATTTATCATGATCTGTCAGAGAATAACTTTGCTTCCCATAGCCCAGAACATCACTTCCTTCAGGAAGCCACCCTGACCAACCTCAGTCCTTTGGTCATTACCTACATAATACTTTGTACTTTATAGTGCATTCTTTTTTGAATGTTGATATACTACTTTCAATTTTTTTCTTTACTCTTTTTGGGTGATTTTGTTTTTTTTCCCTCAATTTAATTATAAGACACTCTTAAACATATTCTATTTTATACTGATCATTTGTTTCTTCCTGTACTAGGAACTGAATGCACAGCCTTCTGCATGCTAGGCAAGTGCTCTACCACTGAGCTGCATCCTCAGCCCCGCTGGGATTTTGACAGATGCATATTTACATGTTCCTTGTACAAAACCTTTGCAATTTTATATGGGGATTTTCTTGGAAAATAGAGGAAATGGTTATCTATAACCCTATATTATAGCAACATTTTTTTGTTAAATTCACACTTGACAAATATATTGATGTTAAATTATATTTAATTTCAACCTCCTACTTTTTTCCATGTACTTATGTGTTTTATTTTACATGGTGGCATTCCTGATGTTCTCTATTCAGCTGGAATGTTATTTATCTGTAAATATATCTTTGACTAATTTTTGTTCTTTCTGAGTATATATTGCAGTAAGTTATGCACAGTAGGGACTCAGTAGCTGCTTGGGAATTCATGAAGTGGCAGACAGACTTGAAAGAGATGACTTAGGCATTTTATTTGAGCTACAGAAACAAACATGGTCATAGAAGAAATGCTCTGGGAGAGATGAGTTTTTGCTTAGGGAGAGATTTTGACTTTGCTAGAATAAAATGCTCATCACATTTAATTGGACCAACTCATCTCTGTCAGAATGACCCTTGTTTGGTGAGTTTGCATTTTTATTCTGCTAGACCTAGTGAGGATGTTTAGATGGCCTGGGGCATCTTAGAGTTAGCAAACAATTTGGTTTTCTCTGATTCTTATTCAGTTGTCAAAACATGATCATAACCTCATTTCAGAGTATAATGCAAAATACTTTTCTGACCTTTGATTAATATTTTTTAAGTTAAGAAAGTCCTAATAGGTTATGCATTCTAGTTCTAGCTGAGAAACTTGCCAATCAAGTTCCCCGTGTTACTCTGTAAAATCATCTGGCTAGCATCCTCCCTTGGCATAACAATGTCATTGTATATAACTAGAGCCCACCATTAATCTGGGTGCATGAGGCTTTCAAACATTTATTCTTCCAAACTATACACTAGATCTGCACTTTGCTGGATGACATTTAAGCAGTTTGCATGGACATAACATAATCCCAGTGCAACATAAAAATGTATTTAGTAAGGACTTTGTGTCTGTGGTTTAGATTTAAAATACATTAATTAGCATGATCACAACACTTTAAAGCAAATGAACTTTTTTTTCCCCAATAAAGCAGGTTATACTGGGGATTTAACAAAGCTTTGAAACAGTGAAATACCAAGGAGTATTTTTTTTAACCTAGAGAATGAACAGCATGCTTGAAAAATATTTGTAATTTATGTTTTGAATTCCAAAGTTTGAATAGACATAAATTTGCTTCTGAAAAGGTATTTTTTATTTTGAGGGACTTGAAGTTACAAGCTTTTCCACAAGAGACTGTTGGAGACATATGTCCTCGTTGCCAGACTAATGCAACTTTATCGACTTAAAGCTTCAAAAGAAATCAATATATTTTTGGAGACACATGGGAGATAGTTGAACTCACATTAATGAATATGATGGATGCTTCCTGCCCAGCTGTATCTCTCGAGGCATGGTTCTTAGACCACCTGCCTTAGCCTCACCACTTACCAATGTGGTGTTGAACACATAGTTCTCTTTGTTATAACAAACAGTGCAACTTCACCTCTGGAGCACTCAGTCTCAAACTGCCTGCCAACTATCTCTTGGTTAAAATCCTATCTAGAGCAGTACCAACATGGCACCCACCACTTCTCAGAGGCATCTTGCTTCTACCCTTGAATCCAGCAGAGCAATAGGCAGTTACATAATTCTTTCCTATTAACTTGTCCTCTGAACAACCACCTTCACTGAATTACATTTAAATATTATATCTTCCATTTTGTTTGTATTTGGTAGATAATTTTGGTCAATGATACATTGCCTATTATTCTGTGTGTACAGTCTCATTTGATAAGCCCATTTAGAATTTATCTCTTTCTTTCTGTCTCTGTCTCTTTTTCTCTGTTAAAATTGGTTTGCTTTCTTCAAACAAATAACTTGAAGTATTCAATAAACTGGTTTTCTTGCCTCTGAGGAGATGCAAGGCAAAATTGAATAGACAATCACAACAATTATATCAAATCTCATGGTTCGCATTTTTGCTTTCTTCTACTCCTCCGTATATCTTTGATGTGTTATTTTTTCCAGAGCTTTGTTGTACACATGAATTTTATTTTAAGGTGACTTAAAATCCCTTTTGAAAAGCAGAAAGTATAAGCAAACTATTAAGAGTAGGATAAGAGAGGCCTATGCAGAAGGCCAGGGGATAATAATTCTGTAAACTACAGAAGCATAAAAGGAAATGGTATTTTTGATTGACATTTTACTGCCAGTGACCTGTGTCTGGCCAACAAATGGCCAGATAATCACTAATGATACTTAGCAAATCTTGGTCACACCATATAAAATACTTTTCTGCAGACTTGATTGAGAGGAAAGTGTGGACATGGAAAGTTATCCGTGGGTTTAAGAGTCTTTGTGTGGAATTATTTTATAAGAGATTATAAAAGTGATAAATAAAGTTAAGAATTTATACCAAAGTAGAAATGCAATAAGGAGTTGTCATGTATTTCAGCTTCTTTGTTCAATTTTCAATATTGGTTTTATAATAATCAGAATTTTGTTCAAAAGATATAGATAATTGAAATCCTAGACATCTGAAAAACATTAGAAGTGAAATTAAGTTTAACAATCTGATGGAGAAATTATGAGTTAGTTAAAATATATTCATATATAACCTTCCAAAATTAGTTATTTTTTTTATATGTGGTCCTACATATACTCTTAAAATAATGGGGATACAAATATAAGACAGATTTAAAAATGAGAAACACAGAACTGGTTGAAATTGGCCTCAAAATGTCATTAACTCCACTCCATCTGTCTTTGCAACCTTATGAAATCATTGCTTTAAACAATTTCAGCTTATGGGAATTAATCATAAAGTAACTCTTTCTCCTTTTCTCTTTTTATTGAGGTTGTTCTTTTGGATTAGTTCTTACCTTTCCTGGATGGAAAGCCAGGAAACGTGACCATTTTTATGGAATGCAGAGAGAGTTTTTGTCACCATAAGTTACAAGACACTGACTCACTGTTTACTATTCAGGCTCATATAATATTTAAACTTTCGATTTTAGTTCAAATTTAAGACCTTTTTTTCCCATCATGTATATAGCTCTTCTCCCTGCTCTTGGCCATGGCTCTCTACCTTTCATAGGTCAGAGTGGGGAGGGAGAAATGGAGATGGGTGTTCCTTCTGGTTTGGTTGTGTTCTTGCCTCCTGAGCTCTGGATTTGGTGGGTGATAAAATCTTACTTTTTTCCTTAAGGGATGTTTTCTTCAGAAATTCCCTCTATCCTGGGGCATCCCTCAACTGAAGATATCCAGGAAAGGACAAATGCTCTATTTTATTGTTTACTTGATGGCTCCTTAGTCCTTTTACATCAAACCATACCTATTCATATCCTTCCCCCACCCCTCTTTTCCACAGGATAGTCTCATGTCCCAACAAATTTTGAGAATGCCAACCAATCCCAGCATAGCCAACTCTCTTTTGTTCCTGCATCAAACCCCCCAGCTTCCCCACCTCTTCCCCTTTAGAGGTCCCTATAGGAGTCTAACTCCAGCCCATTGGGCTCCTTAAATACAGGGTACACATGTTGAATGTCTTTTGTGGCCACTTTTCCTGGTGAGAGAAAACTTAAAGGCATCCTTTCATAGAGCGAAACATTAGGGTCAACATCCCATTTGTCCTTTTATTCAGGACAGGAAAAGACAGTTGAAACAGTCATGATTACTGAGTCTTTTGGAATCACACTATGTGTTCCTGTGAGTTTTTGCAACTATGATTCTAGAACAGGAATGCAAGTGTTATCAAACTAGGCAGTATAACACAAATGTGCAGATGAAGGAAGTAGAGGGAGGAGAGATAGGTGAAGAAATAGGGACACCAAGCCCCTTACTGTGTAAAGTGAAAAGTCTGCAGAAAGTCTGTAGTTATTTGAGCAAGAAATGCATATCAAAATACATGAATTAAAGTCACAAAAGTAACTGGAAGATGAATTGTAAATTGGCTTGTGCACTGCCCTGGGTTATATCTACAGCACCATGAAAAATATATACATGGAGACTATATTTGTTAAATAATGTATTTTTATTTAATATGAAGATGATTAATAAGTTAAATTATTGCTCTGTCATATTAAAATGGTATAAAGCCATAGCTTACTATATCACTCAATGTGATATAATCATAAATATCTTCAGAAAGATCAAAGAAACAGAAAATTGCCAAAAAGGCATTTTAGTATAGGTATGAATTAAATATATGTGCTTTGAGGAAGGGTCTGGTTAGATAAGTGGTTAGGTCATTATTTTTAAACAAAAATTTATTTAACTCATATCCTATATTGAAATAAGTTCCAGATCCTTATTAACTTATAGATGATAAGTTGAGTGTCTGTTTTTCTGAGTTCTATGTTAGGCAGTATCTCTATACTTCAGCCAAATAGAGGATTTGCAAAAGAGAAAAGAGATTCAAGTGCTTTCAGAATAAAAGATGGCAAAGAAAAATCATTATGACAGATATGAAAATGCTTGATAATGCTGACTTCTAAAGGAGTAATTCAATTAATTTTTATTTTGATCACATGCAGTGCCAGAGTCCCAGCTTCAAGCATGACAGACATGGTCTTGAAAATCAATGAGAAAAACCCTGAGACTCCAATAAATAAACCAGTAAGTATCATGCATGCTTACTTCACTGAAAAGTAAATGCAAAGGAATTGTAACCATTGGAAAGCATTTGGTTTATTGCATGACCAAAGTTTGCAAATAAAAATGAGACATACATATCAGACATAATCTGTAATAATTAAAGAAATGTAACAAGAGAATATGCAACACTGTCATGTGTCATGAAGTGGGCACTCCAGAGACTGCTAAAAGTAATATACTTTAACTTTTTGAGAAAGTTAAATTTGGAAACAGGAGTAAAAAGTTTTAAAGATGCTCATATGTTTAGGGCCAGGAATTCAAGTTTTGATGTTTTGTAATTTATGCTCATCAAAAAAAATGTTAAGTTACAAGGAACTACCTAGGTGAAGAAATAATACATTTGGAATTATTGCAGACTTCGTTTTGATATTCATTTGTGTTTTCTTAAGGCTAGGGAGGATGGTTATAATAAAAATTTAAAGAACACAGGATAGTATCACATATACAAAGAAATGTGTAAAAAATTATGGAATTATGATAAAATTTTAATTTCTTTAGGAGTTGGGATTGTGATTTTTAAATAGTTGGAATACTTTTTCTACCTCTGACCTTCCTAAAGGAATATGTATTATTTTCATCTCAAGAAAAAAACAAATGGGAAGCAGTTAGTCCACATTCTACAACTTGTGAGCTGTGTGAGCTTGTGCAAGTGACCCTTTGTATGAGGTAATATCACAATCCACATGGTTTTGGTGATACTCTGTCAAGTGGTTGAGGGTCAGACAGACGTGTTTGAGAAGATGATGATTCTGGTTTGTTAACTTTTGGCTCCGTGATCCAGGACCTCCCCTCTGTCTCTTTATCAGTCACTGAAGTGCAGAACCTGCTTGCCTGCTTTTTTTTTTTTTCTTTCTTCCCCCTTTTGGAGAAAAACAATACCCAAGACAAGTGAAAAGTTGATTACCTCTAACCATGTTTGTGCCTACCATCCCCAGACCTGGAGTCATGAATCGAGTTTTCAGTTTGAACATGTTTTTCTTGCAGTCTTTAACCTTGAGTTGGTCTACATTTCTCGATCTTTTAAATGTAGTCTATTGATTTCCACTGTGCACCAATAAGCTTAAATTAGACAGAAAAAGGCACAGTACCCCTTAAAAAGAACCCCCACTCTTTCTGTACTGAAAAATAAATAAAATGTTTTCTCTACCTCATTCCCTCTTCGGGTGCCCTTTGGCCTGCCTCTCTGGAAGGAATCAGTGTTTGTACAAGGTGAGCTTTTTACATCTGTCACTCTGGAATACACTTTTTACTTCTCCAGAAATCTGGGTCTAAAGAGAAACAATAGAAGAACAAGGTTGAGGCATGGGACTGGGGAGTCTGTTAGCAAGAATGACATTGGCTTTTGAGTTTGTAGAGACTGGTTCATGAGATAATGCATTTCAAACAGCTTTCTGATCCTCAAATCCCCAGTAAGTTTTTGACTCTTTCCAGTTGGGGAACATAATGTAATAATGTGCTAGACCATTAAGTTAGAGCTCCGTGTTTTGCACAATTCATTTTCCAAATTTAAAGAGACTCACAACCGAGCGTTCACAAACAGTAGCTGTTTACTTTCTTTCTACTAAAATAATCACTGCAAATACCCCTCTGAGAATGTATATTTTCAGATGTCAGGTAATCAAAGCTTAGTTGTACTCAGAGGCTTTTTTAGAACCAAATGGAAAATAATTGCTTTAAAGTACCCACTTGTGAGGATTTCTGCTCATCAGTGTAATTGCCAGCAGCCACTGTCTTTCTGTCACAATAAATTCACAATGATTCATTAGCTTCTATTGGGGGGATAAAATAGATCATCTTGTTAACATTGACTTTGATTTTTAAATGGGTTTACTTGATTTCATATTGGAACTACAGTTTGTGCATAAACTAAAATAATAGACGCTCCTGTCCCACTTTGAAGAGTGGTGTAGACAGTAGAAGATGATAAAATTAGAACTCATGGGCCAGACGTGCAGGATTTAGATATGAATTCTCAACGTATTTCCTCCAGGAACATTTTTTTTTTCGGTCTTCCCTTTTGTCAAAGGAATTTAATTTCTCTATGATAAGCCTTTGCACACAGAATGCAGTAGTTGGCAAATAATCCTTAGGATGTGTTACCAAGCTTCCTTTGTCCAGGTTTCTTTCTGTCATTAAAAGAAAAAGATGATTGCTGCAAAAACCTACTGCCTGCAAATGCCTGTCAAGGACTGCCTAATCTTCTTTAACATTCCCTAGATTGATGGGATCATAATTTACATAGCTCAAGCTTACTTTGTATATGTAGATACTGGTCAAAGGTCAGCACTCCTTTGCTGATTTGCTGATTTTTAAGCAGGCAGGGAAAACAGAAACCGGCTTTATTTTGCTGTCAAATGGCTTGTCAACTGCCTACTGGCAGTGGGTACCTGATTGGGATTCTGTGAAGTCACTCAAGGGTCAACCTTCACTTTTCAAGGTCAACAGAAGTTGGCATTAAGTCTCCCTGAAGCTGGTGCAGACCCTGAGTATATGGATCACCCGGGGAGCATCCAGTGACTGCCTTCCAGTGGCACCAAGCATATTGCTACCAATATCAGCCTTCTGAGTCCATCATTCTCCAGGGCACCTGTCGACTAGTTGAAAAAAATGAAATAAAACCAGTGTTGCTTGTAGGGTATTTTACAATTTCAAATTGAGAGGACACGTAAAATATTTTAAGATTGCTACAAAAACCAACCAACCAAGAGCCAATGCATCTAACTGTTTTGGTCTGTTTCCCTAGAACAACAACAACAACACAGAGGACCTCAAGGAAGAAAAAAAATTCTGTCAGAGGCTACATGGAGGGGACTTCCTAGAGATATCCTGGGGCTGAGAAGGGCCTGCTTGTCAATTACAGGTGAGCCAAGCAGGTAGCAAGCAGGAGCATGGGGCCAGGACTAAAAATAAAGAGAAGGAACTAAGCATTCATGTCAAGTGGCCATACAGGGAAACAGGACAGAGGCGTCACAGGCTCTTAAGGGACATGGGGGGCAGAGACTCACTTCTCAGCCGACCCAGCAGACCCTGAGTTGTCCAGTCATCTGTCCAGCCTATATCCAGCACAGCACCAGAGATGTGTAAAACTACACTGGAGGAAAGAAAGGATCATTTCTTAAAAAAAAAAAAAAATAAAATCAGTGGATTTGGAATTTTGGAAACAGTAACCTAGTTTTTGGGCTGATGGAGGAAAAAATAACAAAGTGCCTAATTTTTCAATGCTGGATCATTTCTAGAAGAAATAACTAAATAAAAGCATACCCATCAAAGTCTTTCAGAGTTAAACCAGGGCAGTGTTCAGTTGCTTGGATGAATAACCTTAATTCTTATTAATATAAGCTGCATCTTTCCTATAGTAGAGGATCTGAAACGTATTGTTATGCAAATTTGATTTGGTAGAAAGTTTGCAATGCCACTAAAATTCAGGAAAAACAACCTGGATTCCTTAAAGAGTTTTAAAGCCAGAACTGAATTGTCATGTGGGTACTGTGCATTTTGGTATAATGATTTGCCCTAAGAAATGTTTTTTTTTTTTTTAAATATAGATAAAGAGTTGGGGGGGGGCGGATAGAAAAAAAATGATCATATATTAAGACATCGTTGGGAAAACTGGAAATCCATATGCAACAAAATGAAACTGAATCCCTTCCTCTCGCCATGCACAAAAGTTAACTCTAAATGGATCAAGGAGCTTGATATCAAATCAGAGACTCTGCGTCTGATAGAAGAAAAAGTTGGCTCCGATCTACATATTGTGGGGTC